GAGGTGAGAGAAAGAGGAGAGAGAGGAAAGAGAGAGGAGAGAGAGCTGTGGTACCAGGCAGTCCAGCTGGGACACCGGGCTCTTGCTTCCTGGTTGACTGATGTCCCAGATCTTGACGCAGCCCTTGCCCCCGGTGTAGACGTGGCGGGTGGGGTTACTGATGGTGACGGCGCAGACCACCTCTCCGTGACTCAGCGTGTTGATCTGACGGGCGTGACGCGGGATGCCAGGACCAATCAGAGCGTCCGGCGGGAAGGGCACCGGCTGCATCTGTCCGTCAGCGCTCACGTGGAAGGAGTACGCCCTGGAGCACAGAACCTCATGCATCCATCACTGTCTCACTTATTCATTACTCCACCTCCTACGTCATGTTTTAAAACCCTAAAGTATCTGTCAATCTAAATATGTATAGAGAGGAGAGAGAGAGGAGAGAGAGGAGAGAGAGGAGAGAGAGAGAGAGGGGAGAGGGGAGAGAGAGGAGAGGAGAGAGAGGGGAGAGAGGAGAGAGAGGGAGAGGGGAGTGGAGAGGAGAGAGAGGGGAGAGAGGGGAGAGGGGAGAGAGAGGAGAGAGAGGGGAGAGAGGAGAGAGAGGGAGAGGGGAGAGAGGAGAGAGAGGAGAGAGAGGGGAGAGAGGAGGGGAGAGGGAGAGGGGAGAGAGGAGAGAGAGGAGAGGAGAGGGGAGAGAGGAGGGGAGAGGGGAGAGAGGAGAGAGAGGAGAGGAGAGGGGAGAGAGGAGGGGAGAGGGAGAGGGGAGAGAGGAGAGAGAGGAGAGGAGAGGGGAGAGAGGAGGGGAGAGGGAGAGGGGAGAGAGGAGAGAGAGGAGAGGAGAGGGGAGAGAGGAGGGGAGAGGGGAGAGAGGAGAGAGAGGAGAGGAGAGGGGAGAGAGGAGGGGAGAAGGGAGAGAGAGGAGAGAGAGAGAGAGAGGGGAGAGAGGAGAGAGAGAGAGGAGAGAGAGAGGAGAGGGGAGAGAGAGAAGGGGAGAGGGAGGGAGAGGAGAGAGAGGAGAGAGAGAGAGAGAGGGGAGAGAGGAGAGAGAGGGGAGAGAGGAGAGAGAGGGGAGAGAGGGGAGAGAGGAGAGAGAGAGGGGAGGGAGAGGAGAGAGAGGGGAGAGAGAGAGAGAGAGAGGGGAGAGAGGAGAGAGAGAGGAGAGAGAGGAGAGAGAGGGGAGGGAGAGGAGAGAGAGAGAGAGAGAGAGAGAGGAGAGGAGAGAGAGAGAGAGAGGGGAGAGAGAGAGGGGAGAGAGGAGAGGGAGAGGAGAGAGAGGAGAGAGAGAGGGGAGAGAGGGGAGAGAGGAGGGGAGAGAGGGAGAGAGAGAGAGGAGAGAGAGGGGAGAGAGAGGAGGAGAGAGAGAGGGGGAGAGAGAGGGGAGAGAGGAGGGGAGAGGGGGAGAGAGAGAGGAGAGAGAGGGAGAGAGAGGAGAGAGAGAGAGAGAGAGAGAGGGAGAGAGAGGAGGGAGAGAGAGGGGAGAGAGGGGAGAGAGAGAGAGGGGAGAGGGAGAGGGAGAGAGAGGGGAGAGAGAGAGAGAGAGGGAGAGAGAGAGAGAGAGAGAGGGGAAAGAGGAGGGGAGAGGGGAGAGAGAGGGAGAGAGAGGGGAGAGGAGAGAGAAGAGGAGAGAGAGAGGAGAGGGGAGAGAGGAGAGAGAGGGGGGGAGAGGAGAGAGAGGAGAGAGAGGAGAGAGAGGAGAGAGGGGAGAGGGGAGAGAGTATCTGTAAATCTAAATATGTATCGTGTCTATCTCAACATGTCAATCTCTAACTGTTTAACCTATTTCTGTTTATAAGTTGAATATACATTTATAGTTTATACAGTTATTTTAGAGTCATGTTGGAGGTTATGTGGAGCTAAACGGGCTAGCCATTACCATATATTCTAGCCTGGTCTGGTCCCTGTGTTAGCGATAACAATCGGTTGAATTTCGACTGATCATTCACAGAGCGCGGAAGGGTCAGCACTAGATCATACACGGAATCGGGACGGAAGCGGAAGTGAAAATAACAAACTACCTATTCATGCCTAAACTTAACTCATTGACTGCCAGCCGTTTTTGATGATTTCACTGATTCTCAAGACCCACAGAATTTTATTTCCTAAGACTATTTGAAATATGAAACCAGATTCTGAAAGACTCTATTGTCTACTTTCATCCGCAAAAATAAGTTTGTTTCTAGCTATTTTAATTGTCCTGTAAACCCCAGTCGAACAGAGGGTCTCAGACAAATACGTCAATGGCAGTCAATGAGTTAACCAGCCATTCCCATAAAATAACCCCAACCCACCCTTAACGCTAACCTTAACCATCTTACTTAAACACCTAAAACTTAACCAGTCACCATTTAAGGACGAATTAGTCTAAAATTAATTTGAAAGTAGGATTGTTACTTCCGGTTTCGTCCCGATTCCGTATATGATCTAGTGTCGACCAGCGCGGAAGGCGGGTGTTATAGTTAGTTGTGGGTGACGTTAAAAGTTTGCGTCGAACGGGCAGGTCGTAGTTTGGCAATGGCGAAAAATGCGATAGTAAAGTAATCCGGTCTGGTTCTATCAAGAAACTGAAGCCGGAGCAAGAGGAATGTTTAGCAAATGTAATCGCTGGAATAAATGTGGCGCTACTCCCCACGGGCTCCGTTAGCAGCAAAGGAGATGGCTAAAGCTAGGCTAAATGCTAAATGCTAACAACACACTCAGGCGCATTACATACGTCACAGTAAACTCAGATCCAATCGTTTCAATCTGCAAAAGGAGTTAGCCCCTCCCACCTGTTCACAGAGTCAAAGGAGCAAATCCAGACCTTAGTATGAAATGTAATGTGTACTATGGTGTGGTGCGACCAGGCTAGCATATATTCTGGAGTTGTTCAAAAATAACCAATAACTGGGTGGCTATTAAACAGGGTATTGACGCAACTTTTGGCATTAACGGGGCAAGTAAAAAATATATGTGGAATGTTTTACTGACAGCAAGCGAAAAATCTATCACAAAGAGCCCCTGAGTTGGGTTAGGGTTTGGGGAGACTGACTTTTGCACTAAGACTGGATCATGACAGATTTGAGGACGATTGGAACACATTATACCAACACTCAAAGACTCGTGTGATATCCCTGTTAACAAATGTACAAATTCTAATGTCCCGTGTGTAACTTTGTGTAGATTGTTAAGTAAGAACTGCTGAATGAGTCAATACACATTTAAATGATAAATAAACAAGTATTTTAGAGGAACTTACACATAAAAACTAGCATTTATCATTATAACATCAACAGTTTTTAGTCCATCAGAAATGTGTCTTTTAAATGCTTAGTCTTTGTGTATATTGTGTATTTACAGATGTGAAGTATCATCCTGTAAATGTACATATTCACAGATAAGTACATTCCTGAGCAACCTACATCCAGATTCTATTCTCACACTATCTTAGTATTATTATTATTATTATTTTCAGGTTGTTACTTTAGGGGATTTTTCATATGGAATACTCTGTAAGCTGCTGGATCAATAAAGTCTAAATCTAAATGGCATCTATGTTACTGTTGTATGATATGATTTTGTTTGTAACTCCATCTCTCATATTTCTCGCAGAATCTCGTCGGCAGAATTTGATACAAAAGCGAGAAGTTTCAGACTCACGGTTTTCCTCCGGAGATGGAGGTGAGGCTGGCGGGGAGCCCAGGGGCCCTCATGTGGGTGTGGGGGTCAAACGCCTGAGACACAAACAGAGACAAGTCATCATCCATCCATTTTCTTCCCCTTAATCCATTTCTGGGTCGGAGGTGGCAGTCAGAGCCTCCTGCAGGTGTCCACAGGAGCCTTGATTTTTCAGTGGGGGCTTCAGGTAAAGTGGGGTTAAGTGTCTTGCCCAAGGACACGACAACAGCAGTCATCAGTGGGAGTCGTGAAGTAGGTCTCGTGGTGGAATTGAACCCACAACCTTCAGGCTCAAAGGTCAATGCTCTAGTGACGGTTCTGGGCTTCCATGGCACGTTATACTTCATTATTTTCTCAGTAAAACAAACAAACTTCATGTATTCAAACATTTTAACCAAACGCATCAATAGAAATTAAACACCTAAATATTTTAATGTGTTTAACTTTATATTTGGTCCAGTTTTGGTTCCATCTAAACTCATGTCAAATTTTTTCCAACCTTCATGATGTTAAAAACTATGTCTATTCTTTAAGTTTGACATCTCTGGTTTTGAAGGTTCTTATATTTTAAAAAAAGTAAAAAGAGACTAAAGAAACGGCAGAAAGACTAACAAGAACTGAAGACAAGGCAACACAGGAAAACCTCAAACAGGCGACATCGGACCACAGCAGAAGAGAAAGTCACAGAATGAACTGGGACAATGTAAAAACAGTCCGAACGAAAAAACATGAATAAAAAAGATGGAGACGAGAGGAGCCTGGACCATCAACCCGAGACGAGGGGGGCCTTCACCTTGACTCACACCTTGGACTCACTTGACTAGTGACCACAGGGGGGCGTGGTCAGTCTGAGAGGGTGTGGTCAGTCTAGGGGGAGGGGTCAGTCTGAGGGGGCGGGGCCAGTCTAAAGGGGCGTGGCCAGCGATCCTTCAGACTGACTACATCCTCTGACAAAGGTGGAAGTCTAAACCTGTGTTGATTAAACAGACCTAGCTTCTTTACACTTTTGACTGATGAATGAATGGATGATGAATGAATGGATGAATGAATTAATGGATGGATGGATGATAAATTAATGAATGGATGAATGAATGGATGAATGAATGGATGGATGACTGGATGAATGGATGGATGACTGGATGAATGACTGGATGAATGGATGGATGGATGGATGAATGAATGGATGGATGAATGGATGGATGACTGGATGAATGGATGAATGGATGGATGAATGGATGGATGACCGGATGGATGAATGAATGAATGGATGGATGAATGAATGGATGACCGGATGGATGAATGAATGAATGAATGGATGGATGGATGAATGGATGGATGAATGGATGAATGGATGGATGGATGATGGATGGATGACTGGATGGATGAATGAATGGATGGATGAATGGATGGATGGATGGATGGATGATGGATGGATGATGGATGGATGACTGGATGGATGAATGAATGGATGGATGAATGGATGGATGGATGAATGGATGGATGAATGGATGGATGAATGGATGGATGGATGGATGGATGAATGGATGGATGAATGGATGGATGAATGGATGACTGGATGGATGGATGAATGGATGGATGGATGGATGAATGGATGAATGGATGAATGAATGACTGGATGGATGAGAGTTTACCATGGGCGAGCGTCCGTAAGCCACCGCCGCCGCGCTCATCTGTGGAGAGATGTGGAGACCAGCGTACACGCCCGGACTGCTCAGGCTGCCGTTCATCTCGTGGTGCCCCATCATGGCGAAGGGACTGGGGTACGACAGAGGGGTCCGCAGTGCAGGGGCTGGCCACAGGAGGGAGACATACTGTAAAGGGTATATGTAAACTAACTTAACTAGAAAGTGTGTAATGAGAGTGATTTGATAGGAGACATTCTCAGAGGATTACTGAGCTTAAAAAGGCAAAACGGCCTCTACAGTTTGGATCTGAATCAGGTCGACATTACAACAGATGCAGAGTCGGAACTTTTAATTTTTAACGTTTTGGTCTTAAGGTCGAGGCAAACGTATTTACTGTTGCCATGGCCGAGGCTGAGGGGAGAAATGGTATTTTGACTTGGTATAAAACCATGTGTGGTTGTGTCTCTTGTGTTTGTGCTCTGAAACAACAATAAACATCTTTTTGCCTCACAGTAGGGAAATGTCAGTGTTGCATCACCAGTTCCAGTAGGAATGAGGAGCACACAACACAAGATATATTAATATTAAGTATAGCACAACACCATTCTTTAAAAATAAAATAAATCTTCTGTTTTTGATGATTTCTGTGATTCTCAAGACCCACAGAATATTCTGGGCTATGACGATGTAAAATATGAAACCAGATTCTGAAAAACTGCATTGTCTACTTTTAGCAGCAAAAATAAGTTTGTTTCTAGCTTGTTTTGTTTTTCTGTAATCCCCGGTCAAATAGAGGGAAGTTCGACAGAAATCACTGGTTTCAGACAAATGCGTTCATAAAGAATCTATATATACAGTACTCGTCTGTAACGTCTGCAGAAACATCAGTAATTCTCTAATGCAGAAGTAATAAGTCTTTATCTGTGACATGATCTGTGAGCATATCATCAAAAAGTCCTGGAATTAGCGTAGCTTAAGCTAACAGTGGTAACAAGGTTCAAGGCAAAAATGGACAACTATAATGACGTGTCTGTCCAAGCGTTCAGATTCCAATAGCATTAGCGTAGCATAAGCTAAAAACAACTGTGGAAACATTATTTAAAGAAAAAATAGACTTTTTTTATGTGTTTAAACATTCAGATTCCAACAGCATTAGCGTAGCATAAGCTAAAAAAAACCATGGAAACATGACCCAAGGCATAAACTTGAATGCGGCGTCTGTTTAAACGTTCGGATGTGGATAATTACACCCTCCGTCCCGCCGCAGAACGATGACGGCTGGTACTCACCCAGGGCCTCCATGCCTGGTGGTTTGCCCAGGATGGGTCTGAGCCCGGGGGTGGAGCTGGTTCCAGGGGTGGGGGCGTCGTTGCGCGGGGTGGGGGTGGTGGACTTCAGACCCGGTGTGGAGGATTTGTCATTCTGTCAGAGGAACCACAAAGCAAGCGTTTTTACAATCCGGCAGCGGCTCAGAGCAAAGTTAATCTGGTCTCGGCGCTCGACAGCCCTCCTGCCCTCAACCACTCAAACCTATTATAGCGACAATAGAGATGCCTCCATTATCCCCTTATGCTTTAATCTGGGAGTGTGGGACCAATCCTGCGCTGCTTAAATACATTCAGCTTTTACAGAGCGGCTCATCCTGCTGCGGGACAATATCATTCTTGACATTTCGTCCTGCACTTCCAGCATCAGCTCTAATCCACTCTCACATCCACTCACTGTGACCCCGATCTGTCCCCGTCCTCGTTCTACAGCCCGAGTCCTGTGTCTACAGCCCGAGTACTGGGTCTACAGCCCGAGTACTGGGTCTACAGCCCGAGTACTGGGTCTACAGCCTGAGTACTGGGTCTGTAGCCTGAGTACTGGGTCTACAGCCTGAGTACTGGGTCTACAGCCTGAGTACTGGGTCTGTAGCCTGAGTACTGGGTCTACAGCCTGAGTACTGGGTCTATAGCCTGAGTACTGGGTCTACAGCCTGAGTACTGGGTCTATAGCCCGAGTACTGGGTCTACAGGCTGAGTACTGGGTCTATAGCCCGAGTCCTGGATCTACAGCCTGAGTACTGGGTCTATAGCCCGAGTCCTGGATCTACAGCCCGAGTCCTGGGTCTACAGCCTGAGTACTGGGTCTACAGCCGCAGTCCTGGGTCTACAGCCGCAGTCCTGGGTCTACAGCCGCAGTCCTGGGTCTACAGCCGCAGTCCTGGGTCTACAGCCGCAGTCCTGGGTCTACAGCCTCAGTCCTGGGTCTACAGCCGCAGTCCTGGATCTAAGCTGCACTTACATGTCCCAGCTCCTTGGTCTTGGAGGACGGCGTGCTACCGGAGGACGCCACGGACGCTGGGCTGGTGGGCGTGTCCTTCTTCGGCGGGCGGGGCTTATCGATTCCATTTTCTGGCGGGGAGTGGACGGGACTCGCTCGAGGAGTGGCAGGGTCCTAGAGAACATGGTGTATCTTTAACACAGCACCATTGGAGCTAGAGAGATAGCATTAGAGCTAAAGAGATAGCATTAGAGCTAAAGAGATAGCATTAGAGCTACAGAGATAGCATTAGAGCTAAAGAGATAGCATTAGAGCTACAGAGATAGCATTAGAGCTAAAGAGATAGCATTAGAGCTACAGAGATAGCATTAGAGCTACAGAGATAGCATTAGAGCTACAGAGATAGCATTAGAGCTACAGAGATAGCATTAGAGCTACAGAGATAGCATTAGAGCTACAGAGATAGCATTAGAGCTATAGAGATAGCATTAGAGCTATAGAGATAGCATTAGAGCTACAGAGATAGCATTAGAGCTACAGAGATAGAATTAGAGCTACAGAGATAGCATTAGAGCTACAGAGATAGCATTCTCCTGTCAGTATCATTACAGCCTGTAAGTCGGGTCTGAAGTCAGAGATTCTTCCAAACGACAACAAAAGGATTCCTTGTTCCGTGGCACATTCTTGGCCCGCGGTGCTAATAACGTCGGAATGCTCAGAATGCAGCCTCACCTCATTAGACACATCCACCACCAGGTCGTCGCTCTTCTCCCCGTCACTGTCCTGCAAACACCGCACACACAAAGCTGTCAAAAATCTACATTTCAGGACATTTTCCCTGCGTTGTGTTTGCGTGGCCTCGTCCTTCACACGTTCTTCTCTTTGATGTTTTTAGACTGAGTTTGAGGCGTTAAAAACATTTATCACGCGTTTGCTCTCACTTTCTTTGTGCAATAATAATGTGAATGATGTCAGAATGTGCAATACAGAAGCACATGAGTCCTAGAACCTCATGCTACAGATGTAAACATACTACTGTTTATTTATGTATCAGAATATACAGGATTTCAAATGAGAGAGACCAGAGAGAGACCAGAGAGAGACCAGAGAGAGACCAGAGAGAGAGACCAGAGAGAGACCAGAGAGAGACCAGAGAGAGAGACCAGAGAGAGACCAGAGAGAGACCAGAGAGAGACCAGAGAGAGACCAGAGAGAGACCAGAGAGAGAGACCAGAGAGAGACCAGAGAGAGACCAGAGAGAGAGACCAGAGAGAGACCAGAGAGAGACCAGAGAGAGACCAGAGAGAGACCAGAGAGAGAGACCAGAGAGAGACCAGAGAGAGACCAGAGAGAGACCAGAGAGAGACCAGAGAGAGACCAGAGAGAGACCAGAGAGAGACCAGAGAGAGACCAGAGAGAGACCAGAGAGAGACCAGAGAGAGACCAGAGAGAGACCAGAGAGACGAGAGACCAGAGAGAGACTAGAGAGAGAGACCAGAGAGAGACCAGAGAGAGACCAGAGAGAGACTAGAGAGAGACTAGAGAGAGAGACCAGAGAGAGAGACCAGAGAGAGAGACCAGAGAGAGACCAGAGAGAGACCAGAGAGAGAGACTAGAGAGAGACTAGAGAGAGACTATAGAGAGACCAGAGAGAGACCAGAGAGAGACCAGAGAGAGACCAGAGAGAGACCAGAGAGAGACCAGAGAGAGACCAGAGAGAGAGACCAGAGAGAGACCAGAGAGAGACCAGAGAGAGACCAGAGAGAGAGACCAGAGAGAGACCAGAGAGAGACCAGAGAGAGAGACCAGAGAGAGAGACCAGAGAGAGACCAGAGAGAGACCAGAGAGAGGCCAGAGAGAGGCCAGAGAGAAACCAAAGAGAGACCAGAGAGAGACCAGAGAGAGACCAGAGAGAGAGACCAGAGAGAGACCAGAGAGAGACCAGAGAGAGACCAGAGAGAGACCAGAGAGAGAGACCAGAGAGAGACCAGAGAGAGGCCAGAGAGAGGCCAGAGAGAAACCAAAGAGAGAGACCAGAGAGAGACCAGAGAGAAACCAAAGAGAGAGACCAGAGAGAGACCGGAGAGAAACCAGAAAGAGACCGGAGAGAGACCAGAGAGAGGCCAGAGAGAGACCAGAAAGAGACTGGAGAGAGAGACCAGAGAGAGGCCAGAGAGAGACCAGAAAGAGACCAGAGAGAGGCCAGAGAGAGAGACCAGAGAGAGACCAGAGAGAGGCCAGAGAGAGGCCAGAGAGAAACCAAAGAGAGAGACCAGAGAGAGACCAGAGAGAGACCAGAGAGAAACCAAAGAGAGAGACCAGAGAGAGACCGGAGAGAAACCAGAAAGAGACCGGAGAGAGACCAGAGAGAGGCCAGAGAGAGACCAGAAAGAGACTGGAGAGAGAGACCAGAGAGAGGCCAGAGAGAGACCAGAAAGAGACCAGAGAGAGAGACCAAAGAGAGAGACCAGAGAGAGACCAGAGAGAGACCAGAGAGAGACCAGAGAGAGAGACCAAAGAGAGAGACCAGAGAGAGACCAGAGAGAGACCAGAGAGAGACCAGAGAGAGAGACTAGAGAGAGACCAGAGAGAGACCAGAGAGAGACCAGAGAGAGACTGGAGAGAGAGACCAGAGAGAGGCCAGAGAGAGACCAGAAAGAGACCAGAGAGAGAGACCAAAGAGAGAGACCAGAGAGAGACCAGAGAGAGACCAGAGAGAGGCCAGAGAGAGAGACCAAAGAGAGAGACCAGAGAGAGACCAGAGAGAGACCAGAGAGAGACCAGAGAGAGACCTAGTGTGACAGGTAACTTCCCTGTTGGACCAAGTGAAACATTTGAAATAAATATTGTTGAGGATTGATGATACTAGCTTCTTTATTTTGCTAAAGCTACAGATGTTACTCACATATCGGCTCATACTGTCCTTCTCCTCCACTTTGCGTTTCTTCGACTCCAGGCTGTAGTCGGACGAGCTTCGATGTTTCTCGGTGGCTGTGCGCAGACTGTCCGACGGAGACACGGAGTTATTCTGTGGAAGAGAAAACAGTCTCAGTCCTGGGTCTACAGCCTCAGTCCTGGGTCTATAGCCTCAGTCCTGGGTCTACAGCCTCAGTCCTGGGTCTACAGCCTCAGTCCTGGGTCTACAGCCTCAGTCCTGGGTCTACAGCCTCAGTCCTGGGTCTACAACCTCAGTCCTGGGTCTACAGCCTCAGTCCTGGGTCTACAGCCTCAGTCCTGGGTCTACAGCCTCAGTCCTGGGTCTACAGCCTCAGTCCTGGGTCTAGAGCCTCAGTCCTGGGTCTACAGTCTCAGTCCTGGGTCTACAGCCTGAGTTCATTCAACAACATTTATAGACATTGGTTTCTGCCTCGTATGTTTTGTTATCATTCCATTTCCCGTATTCGTCTGATTTTCTGATCTGTTGTTGGAGAATCGACAGCTTTGTAAAGTCCTCAGAGAAACTACTGTTGTGATTTAGAGCTACGCAAAAATGAGACGTCAGAGTATTATCAAATTAAGATTAAAACCACTCTATTCTCTCCCCTTTTAACCTTGTTTTATTGACGTACCTGTTTTTTGCACACACTGGGGACTTGTTTTGTGCACACACTGGGGACTTGTTTTGTGCACACACTGGGGACTTGTTTTGTGCACACACTGGGGACTTGTTTTGTGCACACACTGGGGACTTTAGCAAATGTATTCCAATAGGGTTTTACTGCAAACCACAAACAAATGACTCTGAATCTGACATGTTATCTTTGTCTTCCATCTCAGAGACACATAATCCACGTCCCACGGTTTCTTTCTTTCGCTCCTGGTCCAGACCCGCGACCAGAACAACGGCCTCTAAACGCCTCCGGCTCCATTTCCTCAGACATGACTGCACCCATTCAACCCCCAGGTCTGCGAAACACAACCCCCTCTGACCCGCTGAGGCCACTCCCATCACTGGGGGAGGGGGAGGACACCAACACCACTCTGTTTGACACCATGAATATTCAAAGGACAGAAACCAGGAGAAAGAATGGATCAGAGAGAGCCCAGAGGGAGGAGGCTCGGGGGGTACACAGCCAGACTTTATCGCTCTGAAAAATAGATTTAAAGTCACTTCCGGGTCAGGGCCAGTCTCTACTTCAGCTCAGAGACTAGACTTTAACTCTTTAAAAGGTCCACAGGAGGATTTTCCCACATTTTAGGAAAGAACCGCCCTCTCCACTTTTTGAACTAAACACTCTGCTCTGATTGGATGAGCTCGAATCAGCAGAATGATTGACAGCCGGGAGGACCAACGATCCACCCGGAAGTAGAAAATCCTCCTATAAACCTTTTAGCTCAGAGACTAGACTTTAGTGTGACTTGAGATTTGAATGATTGACAGCCAAGAGGACCAATAGTCTTAATCCACCCAGAGGTAGAACATCCTCCTATTTACCTTTAATGTTCACTCCTTGAGGAAAGCATTGAACATTTTTATTTGGGGGATTTTCTAAGATGTAGGAAACTAATCATTTGTTATGTTTTTTTTGGTAGTTTTTAAAGTGTCTTTACCAAATAGTTAAGAGGAAGTCTGATGTAAAAGTGTCTGAAACCAAGTGATAAAGACGCAACAATGAGGGAGACTCAGAAAGTGATGGTTCAGAAAAAAGGAGCACAGGGACTGGACTCCTGCTGGGACTCTGAGGAGCACAGGGACTGGCCTCCTGCTGGGACTCTGAGGAGCACAGGGACTAGTCTCCTGCTGGGACTCTGAGGAGCACAGGGACTAGTCTCCTGCTGGGACTCTGAGGAGCACAGGGACTAGTCTCCTGCTGGGACTCTGAGGAGCACAGGGACTAGTCTCCTGCTGGGACTCTGAGGAGCACAGGGACTGGCCTCCTGCTGGGACTCTGAGGAGCACAGGGACTGGTCTCCTGCTGGGACTCTGAGGAGCACAGGGACTGGTCTCCTGCTGGTCCCAGAGTCAGGACTAAACATGAGGAGGCAGTGTTTCAGATTCATGCAGAAATCGGGAGCAGTCTTCCTGAAAATGTGAGAGACTTCTTCTCTGACAATGTTCAAATCCAGGTTAAAACCGTTTCTTTTCTTGTTTTGTTTTTGTTTCCTTGTGTATGAACTGTGCCATACAAATAAAACTGGCCTAAGTTCAGGGTCGAACAGTGTTGTGAGAAACACATTTGAAAAGTATTAAACAATTCGTCGCAATCGCAGAAAAAGTGAATTATTTAAGTCTTTTGCAAACAACAAAATAATCCTCTTTTGTTCCTAAAATCCTCTTATTTTTATAAAACCTTTGTTGTTCGGAAAACGCTCACAAATGATTCCTGAATTATTTAACAGCTCGTTTTTCAGTCTTTTCTGATTATTTTTTACACATGTAGTTGTTGCCACGACGACCAAACGCCAAAGTCATTGATAAGACTTTGCATTTTAAAGACATTATGATGCGACTTGATGCAACTGATTCATCTGATGCTACTCCCTAAATCCCAACAGTACTTTTCTCTGAGGACTTTACAAAACTGTCGATTTGCCAACAACAGATCAGAAAATCAAACAGGAAATGCAGCGATAACAAAGCGCTCAGATCACTTTTTTGCGCTAAAACATGCCGACTGCCTGCATGGTTTGGGGGTGCAGTGACCGTGCAGATTGTGGGGACATTCCGAAGGCTATTACGAGTCAGGGGAGAGACTCGGGACGGAGAAAAGACTTCTTAGTTGGCGAGGATCAACCGAGAGGGATTCAACCCTAACCCCTGGAAAACGGCACTATAAGGTCGGTTCTGAGACCTTATAGTGAGAGCTAAATCTGAGCGTGTGTGGTTTATATTCAGAGCTGCGACTGTGAGACTCAGTTTATTTAGGTGCCTCGAGGCTCACATCTAAATGAATGAGAGGAGGAGGAGGGGGTAGACAGAAGTGATTTGCGGCCTGTGATATCAACTGCTTCGTTCAAAATAAATTATTAATCGAAAGAAATATTGCATCATATACATCATGACGTTTTTTTAATTGCAAAACTGTTCAGTGAAAGTAAGCCCAAGTCCACTGGTCTCGTTGTGTTTCATATGGATCCAAATCTCCGATCACTCTCAATTTCTCCAAGGATCTCTTCTCGCAGATTACTCCAGTGAATCAATAACTTAACGCTGTCAGTGTCGGCCCAATTCGTGGCTTCAGAAGACACGGGGACAGATGATCCGTGACAAATTATCCATGACAAATGATACATGCGATATAAGCTTGACACTCAACATGGCGTTCACGCGAAGCATCATGGGTAATAAGCAAGTGATGGAAAACCATGTATTGCTTCATCTTTGGCTGAGCTGAAGTTGGCTGAATGACAAAGCGCTACTCACCGGCTAAACTAGCATCATACAATCACAAATAAATGAAGTTGAAGTCTAGAGAAACAGAACATCACAACCAGGAACACGTCTGGGTCTTAAACATACTCTTGGGTTCGCGAGGCAGAGGGCCGCGCACAAAGACACAGAGGGCCGCAGTTAGCCCCCGGGCCATAGTTTGGACATACCTGCTTTAACCACACAACACACACAATCTCTCAGACAGCGGCCTCAGATTCAGATTCAGACTCAGACTACTTTGTTTGTCACACCAGGGGCGATTTGTTTGAGCAGCACATAAAAAAGAAAATAATAATAATAATAAAATAACATAAAAACACAGGAAATAAGCAATTTAGAAATGTACAAACATCACCTCCAGCTACAGAGAGTTCAGGCCAATAACGGTTTGGGACAAAAGTTTTAAAGGACGATTGGTTTTACAAAATGGTGCAACTCAGTCCACTTCCTGACATGGATCTATACTTTCTGTTTCCTCCACTCACAAAGAGCCAAAGAATATCCTGTTCGTTCCTGTCAGTCATTCTCAAATCAAAACCAGAAATTAAAGTATTTTTGTAAAGTACTCACTGTGCTTTCTGTGCAGAGGAACCAGAGCCAGAGCCAGGGCCAGAGCCAGAGCCGGAGCGACCACGAAGCCAAAAGAAGAAGAAGAAGAGACAAAATCAGTGAGTTTTCTTCAAAGCTCCGTCCATTATTTACATCGTTCTTTTGTCTATTTTTATATTTATCATTATATTATTATCAACATGTGATTATGAAGGTCACAAAGAGAGAGATCAGTTTAAAACAGAAACAATATGGTCTGAGAGCTGTGTGTCTAAAAATATATTAGATTTTAAAGGAGCAGTTTGTAAAAATGTGGCCAAAAGTGGTACTGCAGCCTCTCCCACTCTCCCTGACTCAGGTTGCCAGATATGCAGACGAATCCAGCTGGGACCATAACAGCTGAATAGACAAGAGTTTTGTCAACAACAAATCTATAACCAACACCTTTTTCACAAAGATAGAAATCCTGGTTTTATTCCTTGTTTTGTCGTTAATGATTTGAGAATCATAACGAGACCTTTTTTAGTTCTGCGCCACATGGTACTTTACCAGTGAGATTAGCATCCACATGGTGAGTTCTGGCGCCCAGATCACAGACTTTCTGATTGGTGAAACGGTGGAGGGCGGGACATCGAAATGAAAACAATAACAAGATTTAGAGGCTGGAAAAGTAATTTAGAAATTCAAATATCTCTGAACTATTGTTATCAGTTAAAGAAGGATTGGAAAAGAGTTTATTATGATGACAGATTTGGGCCCTTTAATGAGGACAGATTAGGGCCCTTTAATGAGGACAGATTAGGGCCCTTTAATGATGACAGATTCGGGCCCTTTAATGAGGACAGATTAAGGCCCTTTAATGAGGACAGATTAAGGCCCTTTAATGATGACAGATTCGGGCCCTTTAATGATGACAGATTAGGGCCCTTTAATGAGGACAGATTAAGGCCCTTTAATGATGACAGATTCGGGCCCTTTAATGATGACAGATTAGGGCCCTTTAATGATGACAGATTAGGGCCCTTTAATGAGGACAGATTAAGGCCCTTTAATGAGGACAGATTAAGGCCCTTTAATGATGACAGATTCGGGCCCTTTAATGAGGACAGATTAAGGCCCTTTAATGATGACAGATTCGGGCCCTTTAATGAGGACAGATTATGGCCCTTTAATGAGGACTGGACATAAAAATCTGACTACTTTAATACTAAGAAAGAAAGAACCAAAAGGTTTTTTTTAAAGCAGTGGAGACAGAGAGCGACTTCAAACTATGACAAATATAATTCATAGTTTCAGTAAATATAAAATTCTCAGTAACAAATGAAAGATATAGTTCCTAATCTCTGATAAAGTATAAACCAGTCCTTGTGACACCGTCTCAGCCTCAGTCTGGAGTCGTTCTGTGGTCGTTAAAGACGGTTTTTAGCCTGAAGTCCCATGATCCTTCACTGCTCGTTTTCAGCTCCACATCATGGTTGACCACAGTCAGTAAAACACACCACTCTCCAAACATGTGGTGAGAGCACTCCACAGACAGACGCTCAAATCCAGGCGTTTCGTCCCAAACATCTGGTTAGAGCTCTTCACAGACGGGGCCTCAACTCCAGGCGTTTCGTCCCAAACATGTGGTTAGAGCTCTCCACAGACGGGGCCTCAACTCCAGGCGTTTCGTCCCAAACATTTGGTTAGAGCTCTCCACAGACGGGGCCTCAACTCCAGGCGTTTCGTCCCAAACATGTGGGGAGAGCTCTCCACAGACAGACGCTCAAAACCAGGCGTTTTGTCCCAAACAGTGGGAAATATTCATGTTCATTTGAGGCTATTTTTGTGTTTACTGTGAATCTGAACCAAAAGGAGGAAGTTTAGAATCAAGAGCAGTTGCTACTATTGTTAGTAACTAAGCAGTAATATATCCATCTATCTATCTATCCCTCCATCCAGCTATCTATCAATCTATTTATCTATGCATCTCGTGTTGGGCATAAGTTATACCTCACTGCTGGATCAAATGCCTGGATTTCCGAGCGTCTAAATCCTAAACCCCCGTTAGCGTTAGTGTTAGCATCAGCGCTATAAAGATAGACATGAAGTCCTCGCCTCTGTGCTCCAGCTCGTGGTGGTTCTTCTCGTCCTTCACCGGGAGATGGGCCTGACTCCCCAGGGCCCCCAGTGCCAGGAGTCCAGGGGCGGCGGCGGATCCAGGGGCCAGACCTGGGGGCAGGCTGGGGGGCTGGAGGCCGGAGGGGTGACCGGGCAGAGGGACCGGGGGACCGTGGGCGGCGTGGGACAGGTGCTGCTGCTGAAACACAGACACAGGAACCTCCGTTGAGTCCCGAGGAACCTTCACACGTGGACTCAGGTCACGGCAGAAGAGGGTTAAACAGAAATACAGAACTGCCAACAGCCAATGAAAACACACGGAGCACACTGGGGACTCTTGAGCAAGTATTCCAATGGGGTTTTACTGCAAATGTCTCAGAAACTGGATCTGAAGGAGACAGATTGGCCGCAGTAGAAAAATAAAATACACAAATGTACTTTCCCACTTCTCTCTGTAGAGCAGGGGCCTCCAACCTTTTTCAATCAGAGAGCTACTTGTATGCAAAGGAGCCAGAGAGCTACTTGTATGCAAAGGAGCCAGAGAGCTACTTGTATGCAAAGGAGCCAGAGAGCTACTTGTATGCAAAGGAGCCAGAGAGCTACTTGTATGCAAAGGAGCCAGAGAGCTACTTGTATACAAAGGAGCCAGAGAGCTACTTGTATACAAAGGAGCCAGAGAGCTACTTGTATACAAATGAGCCAGAGAGCTACTTGTATACAAAGGAGCCAGAGAGCTACTTGTATACAAAGGAGCCAGAGAGCTACTTGTATACAAAAGGAGCCAGAGAGCTACTTGTATACAAGGTCGTAATGAAACAAAAAATTCATTCAAGATCATGTGTTCAAATCTAAATCCTTTGGGGAGCTACTTGAAAGGGGCTGGCGAGCTACAGGTAGCTCCCGAGCCACAGGAGACCTCTGCTCTGAAAGACTGTTCTGTACTTTCTCCCACAAACCAAACAAACAACCACTGTTTAAAGAATGCATTATTTTCCTGAAACATTTATGAGTTTTTCCAAACTTTTGGTGCAGAATCTTTCAAACTCAGAAACTTTAATATTTAAGAACGACAAAGGAACAGAGCTGAGAGCAAAGGTACAGAGCAAAGGTACAGATCTGTCAAACTGGCTGTGGACTGGTTCTGGACTGAGTCTGGGCTGAGTCTGGGCTGAGTCTGGGCTGAGTCTGGACTGAGTCTGGACTGAGTCTGGGCTGAGTCTGGGCTGAGTCTGGACTGGTTCTGGACTGAGTCTGGGCTGAGTCTGGGCTGAGTCGGGCTGAGTCTGGACTGAGTCTGGCTGAGTCTGGGCTGAGTCTGGGCTGAGTCTGGGCTGAGTCTGGGCTGAGTCTGGGCTGAGTCTGGGCTGAGTCTGGGCTGAGTCTGGGCTGAGTCTGGGCTGAGTCTGGGCTGAGTCTGGGCTGAGTCTGGGCTGGTCTGGGCTGGTTCTGGGCTGGTTCTGGGCTGGTTCTGGACTGAGTCTGGACTGAGTCTGGGCTGGTTCTGGACTGAGTCTGGGCTGAGTCTGGGCTGAGTCTGGGCTGAGTCTGGGCTGAGTCTGGGCTGAGTCTGGGCTGAGTCTGGGCTGGTTCTGGACTGGTTCTGGACTGAGTCTGGGCTGAGTCTGGGCTGAGTCTGGGCTGAGTCTGGGCTGAGTCTGGGCTGAGTCTGGGCTGAGTCTGGGCTGAGTCTGGGCTGAGTCTGGGCTGAGTCTGGGCTGAGTCTGGGCTGAGTCTGGGCTGAGTCTGGGCTGGTTCTGGGCTGGTTCTGGGCTGGTTCTGGACTGAGTTCTGGGCTGGTCTGGGCTGGTTCTGGACTGAGTCTGGGCTGAGTCTGGGCTGAGTCTGGGCTGAGTCTGGGCTGAGTCTGGGCTGAGTCTGGGCTGAGTCTGGGCTGGTTCTGGACTGAGTCTGGGCTGAGTCTGGGCTGAGTCTGGGCTGGTTCTGGACTGAGTCTGGGCTGAGTCTGGGCTGAGTCTGGGCTGAGTCTGGGCTGAGTCTGGGCTGAGTCTGGGCTGAGTCTGGGCTGAGTCTGGGCTGAGTCTGGGCTGAGTCTGGGCTGAGTCTGGACTGACTCTGGACTGAGTCTGGACTGAGTCTGGACTGAGTCTGGACTGAGTCTGGGCTGAGTCTGGACTGGTCCTAGACTGGTTCTGGGCTGAGCTTGTTTTTCCACCAGAGAAGAACGAGGGCTGGTTACCATAGCAACACACTATTAGCAGTTAGCATTTAGCATCTCTCAACAATCGTTTTTTGCTGCATTTCAGTCACATTCACCAGTTTACCAGACCCAGTCCCAGTCCCAGTCCCAGACCCAGTCCCAGTCCCAGTCCCAGACCCAGTCCCAGTCCCAGTCCCAGACCCAGTCCCAGTCCCAGTCCCAGACCCAGTCCCAGTCCCAGACCCAGACCCAGTCACATTCACCAGTTTTAGCTCTTGGTAAAAGTGAAAGAAAATTAAAAATGAACAGATTGGATGTAAACAGAGGAAATGAGGACTGAGAGTTCTGGAAGCTTCATCTGGTGAGAAGGGCGGACCCAGACCCAGTACCAGTCCCAGACCTAGACCCAGTCCCGGACCCAGACCCAGACCATCTGTCCATTAGCACCAGAGCAAAGGCCTCTTCACTAATGAGGAACAGAAATAACTTTGGTCTGAGTTTCTCTTTTGGCTCAAGCACAGACAAGAAACTGGCTCTGGCTCTCTCTCTGGTGTCTCTCTCTGGTCTCTCTCTGGTGTCTCTCTCTCTCTCTGGTCTCTCTCTCTGGTCTCTCTCTGGTCTCTCTCTCTGGTCTCTCTCTCTGGTCTCTCTCTCTGGTCTCTCTCTGGTCTCTCTCTGGTCTCTCTCTCTGGTCTCTCTCTCTGGTCCCTCTCTGGTCTCTCTCTGGTCTCTCTCTGGTCTCTCTCTGGTCTCTCTCTGGTCTCTCTCTGGTCTCTCTCTGGTCTCTCTCTGGTCTCTCTCTGGTCTCTCTCTGGTCTCTCTCTGGTCTCTCTCTGGTCTCTCTCTGGTCTCTCTCTGGTCTCTCTCTGGCCTCTCTCTGGTCTCTCTCTGGTCTCTCTCGCTGGTCTCTCTCGCTGGTCTCTCTCGCTGGTCTCTCTCGCTGGTCTCTCCCCCCTCACATTTAGAAACACAACAAGGAAATGACCGGGACCAAGACCACCACAGAGACCGGGACCAAGACCACAGAGACCGGGACCAAGACCACAGAGACCGGGACCAAGACCACAGAGACCGGGACCAAGACCACAGAGACCGGGACCAAGACCACAGAGACCGGGACCAAGACCACAGAGACCGGGACCAAGACCACAGAGACCGGGACCAAGACCACAGAGACCGGGACCAAGACCACAGAGCACAATTCTTTGAGGAGAATAAAGAACGTTGTGTTGGTCTCGTGTTAATCATTTGTTCATAGATTTGCTAA